GGGTTCTTCACATCTCTGCAGGAAGGCCATACTTGACTAGGGTCGATGGGTTAAAGAAGGGTTCAGGCTGGGGAGGGGGAGGGGAGGGAGGGGGGAGGAGCCTCACCCAGGGCTGTAGGCACACATCCTGACACCCAACAACCAGGCTGGTGGGGGAACCTGAGGGTCGGCTAGACCGAGATGTACACGGGTTAGATTTCATTTCTTGAAAAACAAGGCTTCCCTGTTGTCCATGGCCAGATTTTACACATCAATCCCTCCCCCCAAAAAACACAAGCACAGGAGAATTGAGTTGACGCATTTTATTCCTAAAACAGAGGCTGCACCACACGCAGTAGGGCAGCATTTATATAGATTTTATATATATATTGCCGTTTGGTTTTTGTGTCTAAATGTGTGGTATAAAATACTATATAAGACAATGTACCTGTTATTAGAACACAGTGAACTTCATTGCTGTACAAGTACTCTGCACTACAGCTTAGCTGTAAGCCCCCCACACACAAGGCATGGACATAAACCCCCAACCTACTTCATCTGTACATCGTGACAATACAAATCTGTCCCCCTTACAAAAAATAATACTCTAAAAGCAACCTACTGCAACTTTATTTTTGTAGTTTTTGTGTTTGTTTTTTTTTTTAAGACGATTACATACATTTTAGACCAATTGCTTTAAAGCAGGAAGGCAATATAAACCTTCTAGATTTTTGAATATATAAAAGGTTAAGAAATAAGACAAATTATACATTTAAAAACGTACAATAAATAAGATAGATGCAGGCATTTCAACGGGATACAATTTCATCCAATGATAGGGCTTTCAGATCTTGATGCGAGTCTGATTAGTTGGTTTCATGACTGAAAGTCCCTCATCATCCGTATTATACAGACACGTGACGCAGACTGGCCAATTTCAGTGTTTCTGTGGGGGATACCATGGCTGGGGTGGGGGCTTGCCCTCCCGTCACTGGCCCTGCCTCCCACAGGCCGCCGAATCCCTGGGGGGAGCCACTGTGAGGCCAGTGATGGGGCCTGCACTGCCTCCATGGTACTGGCTTTCTGGAACATTCGGTGCATTGAGAGACCTCCAAACTCCTATAAAGTCCAGCACTGTAGTCATGTGACAGGTAAATCCCGTTCGAGCGCCACTGCCGTCCTCTTCCTCTTGCTGCTACGGCTCCTCCTCCTCTTCTCCTGGCTGCCCGGTTCCGTCCGCTACAGCATGTTCATGATAAAGTTGTACATCTGATTCAGCACCACAAAGTGAATGGGCAGGCAGGAGCGCCTGTCCTGCATTGCTGGGTCGCACGTCAGCCAGGAGAGGGCATTGTACTGCTCCAGAACAAATCTGCACAGTGTAGGGGGGGTGGGGGGTGGAAATAGGTGTTAGGAAAACTTCCACAACTGAACACAATACAGAACACTGTGGCTCAGTTATTCAATCTAATCAAAAGGGTGTTTACTATTTAACTGCCAGGGCTAACTGCTCACTGTGGTTTTAACAGGTTAGTTCCATATTCGCGAGAAGTCGTACGAGAAGCGGGATACCTGAGCACGTCTGAGGTCTGGTTGGAGTCGAGGGGGTGGGAGTGTTTGCCATGCAGCAGCTCGTCTGATTGCACTGAAGACACGTGGAGGTGCAAAGAGGCCTGCGGTGACGAGAGGGACAAGAATGAATGGGAGGAATCTGCATATTTGAACACCAGTGCACACCACAACAAGAAGGGTCAGGGAGCTTTTCCCCCCCCACACGTTATTTTACTGGACGGGAGGGGGAGAACAGCAGCAAGCAATGAGTCATTCGCTAAACCACACATCCGGCCTGACTGGCAGATCCAAGCCCTCGGGTTCCGTCTCCACAAGCTGGAGGATTAGGACGATTTGCTCATTTGGTCAATTACTCAAAACGGTCCTACAGGAGAACAAATCAATTATTTGCAATTGGGAAGCACAGTCATAAGAGGCAGCCATAAGATGCAATGGAGATGTAACAGATATGATGCGTATAGGACAGGAGTTGCCTATCTGCTTGGTTTTCCCATTAACAGAGGTTTGCTGGGGATGCCCGTGTCTGGAAACGTAGCACCCAGCACTGTGAGCAGTGTTTCCCGCGGCAACACGGAGGAGCCACTCACCTTGAGGAACAGGGGGCACTGGTTCTGTGCTTGCGGACAGGCTGACCAAAACCAGTCGGGCAACGGTCCGGCCTTAGCGGTCGACACGAAGTAGCCAAGGGCCAGAGGCTGCTGGAGGATGTTGGGGGCCTCATCGTGAGACTCCATCCGGTCGGTGCTCTGACCCTGAGCGGGGGGGCAGGGCAGGGGAAGGTACATTAACCATTAAGCTACCATGAGGAGAGCAGCACAGAGAGCATTGCCTGCCAACTCACCTTGCTGCCATCCCCGCCGTGGTGGTAGTGTGAGCCTGGCGAATGCACAGGTGAGGTGGTGGGCGAGGCGGGCAAGATGTTGATGATGTCTGGGTCCACCAGATCGTTCTCCGTCTCCAGCAGCTCAAAGATGCCGATTGCATCCGGCCCGTCTGGGGGAGGCAGGAGAAATCAGGACGGGGGTCAGTGAAGCATATTTGGCTGGTTTGGTCCATAGCGATGTTTAGGTTTAAGTACCAACCCACCATTGATGGGGTT